AAAAGGCTGTGAAAATGTTGTAGCTGATCACTTGTCTCGCATTGTCCCCTCGGACCCTTCACTTGCATTGAATAAGCATGTAGGCATTAATGATGATTTTCCATATGAACATGCGAATGAAGTGGTTACTGTGCCTTGGTATGCAGACATCGTGAACTATTTGTCAGATGGAGTTTTGTTGTCTAACCTCTCTTCCCAAGAGAGGAAACGTTTTGTGTTGACGTGCAGGAGCTACTTTTGGGATGACCCAACCCTTTTTAAGATGGGAAAGGACGAGATTCTTCGGAGGTGTGTGCCCGAAGAAGAGCAACATGATGTCTTGGTCTTCTGTCATGAGCTTCACCGTGGAGGACACTTTGGGGGTCGAAAGACCGCTTTCAAAGTCCTCCAATCAGGTTTATTTTGGCCAACTCTTTTTAAAGATGCTTATAACTTTTGCAAATCTTGTGACCGCTGCCAAAGAATTGGGAATATTGGCCCAAGGAATGAGATGCCCCTTATGAGCAATTTACAAGTTGAAATCTTTGATGTGTGGGGCATTGACTTCATGGGACCATTTCCTAAATCTTTTGGCTTTGAGTATATACTTCTTGCTATGGATTACGTGTCCAAGTGGGTCGAGGCTATCCCCACTAGGACATGTGATGCGAACGTTGTGATCAAGTTTTTGCAAAGTCATGTCTTGAGTAGGTTCGGATTTCCACGAGCTATTGTGAGTGACGGGGGCAAACATTTTTGCAACCGAGTGTTTGAGAAGTTAATGAAGAAGTACGGGATTTCTCATAAAGTGGCCACCCCATACCACCCACAAACTTCGGGCCAAGCTGAGACGAGTAACAAGCAAATCAAGACTATTCTTGAGAAGACGGTGAACTCGTCTCGAAAAGATTGGTCGAGCCGGCTCGATGATGCACTCTGGGCCCAACGCACAGCTTATAAAGGAGTTTTAGGGATGAGCCCGTTCCGGCTTGTCTATGGAAAGGCATGCCACCTTCCGGTCGAGATAGAGCACAAGGCATTTTGGGCCATTAAGAAGATGAATTTTGATCTCGAGGCAGCGGGACGAGAGCGAGTGTTCCAACTCTCCGAGCTTGAAGAATTGAGAAATGAGGCGTACGAAAATTCCAAAATTTACAAGGACAAGGTTAAAAGGCTTCACGACTCGACCATTGTCCGTAAAAATCTCGGGCCCGGCATGAAGGTACTTTTGTTCAATTCTCGCCTTCGTCTTTTTCCGGGGAAGCTTAAGTCCCGATGGAGCGGACCTTATATCATTGATGAAGTGCTATCACTTGGAGCCGTCCGACTCCGGAATCCCGCGAACGGCGAGTTGTTTGTAGTGCATGGACAAAGGATCAAACCGTACTTCGATGGAGAATTTGGGAAGCACCATGTCGAGACCCTCGGCCTCGGCGAACCACAGTATCCTTGATCAAATTTATGCCGAGCTCCCGGCTTTAAACCGAGCAATTAATTGTACTATATGTATTTATATCTATTTATATTTTATTTATATA